GGCCGCGTTGCCCTCGGTTAGGTTTGAGTCTTTTGTCCTCTCGGGCTCTCGGGTGCCCCGCGTCGGAGCTGTAAAGGCAAAGGGGTAAGCAACGACGTGAACCGATGACGATGTCTACCGTGGTGGTGGTTGTTTGGCCTCAAGCTCAGAGCTCGAGCAGTGATTGATCCGATCAGTTCAACTTCTCCAACCTCATTATTCGCGCACGCGTCCCGGCGGCGCCGTCCAGGTTATCCGGGTGGTGGAGGTCAGTGCTTCTGGCCGCGGCGGCCGTGGTCGTGTCCGTCGATGGCGTGCAGAAGTACCCGCACCCTCACGCCATTCTGAAAGGATTGCCAGATTCCAATCAGATCGAGATCATCCGCAAGGACATGTTGTTCTATGCGAGTGGACAAGATCAATACGTCATGGAGGAGGTCTTCAACATGGACGAGCTGCGTGCGGAGTTCCTTGCCTTCATGACAGAGCTATACAGTGGCCCTCAGATAAATACCCACGGCGCACATCCGCTCCATGACGTCGACTGGGATCACTGGACAGCTCGCGTGGCAGTTGCGAGGCGGCGCATATTTCTCCGAGCCGAGGCCGCCGAGGCCCCCCACTTCGCGGCCGCATACTCTTCCAGGCCTCCAATATGCCGTGGCGCCCTTCTCGCAGCGGCTGACGCGTGCGAGGGGAGGTCATCGTCACGGGGCGCCGCTTCATCAACGGGGAACCAATACTTCGAGCCCGTGCCGACGCAGCCCATATTCCCCGAGGGCCCCATCAATTTGACGGTGGACAACGCATCGGGAGGCGACGCGGACTCGGACACGCTCGACGAGATGAGTGACGACGAGGACCAGCCCGACACGCTGCCGCCAAATGACAGCGGCTACCAGGACCAGCCCGACACGCTGCCGCCGAACGACAGCGGCTACAAGGACCAGCCCGACTCGCTGCCGATGGACAGCGGCCCGCTGCCGCCGAATGACAGCGGCTACGAGGTATTCCCCGACACGCTGCCGCCGATGGACGACGGCGGCTACCAGCCCGACTCGCTGCCGATGGACAGCGACGAGGGCGACCAGCCCGACACGCTGCCGCCAATGGACAGCGGTTACCAGCCCGACTCGCTGCCGCAGGACAGCTACGACCAGCCCGACTCGCTGAGCCAGGTGGAGGCAGGCGATGAATGATGATGGTGGCGTCGGCGTGACAACGAGGAGAGGAGGGAGGAGTAGGAGGATGGGAGGAACAGGAGGAGGGGATGAACAGGAGGAGGAGGGGAGGACGGAGGGGGAGGAGGGGGGAGGAAGGAGGGGTATCTCTGATTCTCCGATTCCACCACCCTCGTTCTGTCCTGTATGTCTTGGCCTCCCATGCCCCTTGATCTTTGCATCGCGCCCAGGCGCATGTTGAGGGCATGGGGGTCCAAGACATGCTGGACAGGTTGTCGGAGATCGAGTCGGCGATCTGGGATGCAGCTTTTGACATGGCCGAGGCCGCGGACCACCACCCCCTTGCCCCTCCCCTTGGGGAGGAAGTAAGGGGGAGGAGAATGAGGAGGAGGAGGAGGAGGAGGAGGAGGTGGTCCCGGGGAGGAGGGGCACTGGGGCCACACCCTCTTCGGGCTTCCTGGACCCCCCCGCGCCCTTCGTCGCCATGGCTGGGTCCGCCTCGATGGTCGGCGGAGTGGGGGGGGGGGAAGAGGAGGAGGAGGAAGGGAGCGGCTCCCGGCGATGTCGCACACGTGTGAGACCTACGACGAGTGCCGCAGGTCCATCCCTCCCTCCCTCCTCCCCTCCCCTCCCCTCCCCTCCCCCTCGCCCCTCCGCCCGAGGTACTGAGCGAGGGCGGCCCGCCCGACGCCCAGCCCGACGGCGAGACCGTCGACCGCCGCCGCGCCCCGCGCGGCCGCCCGCCACCACGACTTCCTCCCCCTCCTCCTCCGGCCTCCCTTCCTCTTCCTTTGGAGGATCCAGGTTTTTTTTGTTTCTCACCATTTTCGGGCTTCCTGGGAACCCTCGTCGCCACGGCTGGGTCCGCCTCGAAGGTCTGGTCAGAACGCGTCCTGGACTGTTTTGGGGGTGGCTTTTGGACGAGGGGGCTCCTACACCTCACCTCTCGCCCTGCCCTTCTCCCTCTCTCCTCGCTCTCCCTCCCCTCCCCTCGCTCCTCCCCTCCCTTCCCCTCGCTCCCGCCCTCCTCCCTCCTCCACTATCTTGCCTCGGAGAAGGAAAGGAAGGGAGGGGGAGGAGGAGGAGGAGGAGAGAGGAGGAGGAGGAGGAGGAGGTGGAGGAGGAGGAGGAGGAAAAACAAAGGAGGAGGGAGGGGGAGGAGGAGGAGGAGGAGGAGGGGGAGGAGGAGGAGGAGGCGGAGGAGGGAGGAGGAGGAGGAGGAGGAGAAGGAGGAAGCGGAAGCGGACCGTCAACGGCGTAGCGGGGGCCTTCGAGGCCCCCGCGGCACTGCGGGGCTCCCAAGGGGCCCCGCAGCGGCTTCGATGAAAGTTACTAGTCTAGGCTCAGCGCGGGCATGATGCAAGATTGGATGGGGGGACGCCACACTGGGAAGCAGGCAGAGAGCAGACACGAGGAGCAAGAGACTACAAAACGCAGGGAGGAAGGGAGACAGACGAGTCGACATGACCGACGGCGGGACGGGGACCGAAACACCGAAACGGTTCCTAAAAGTTCTCCCTGTCGCCTCGGATGGACCAGGCGCTTCGCCTGAGACAACCCCACCACTCATGACCCCGAAGCTTGAGTGCAACAGTTGCACGGATGGGGGATATGCTCAAAGTGGGGCTATCGCCTGAGCGCCGCGCAGAGTCGCTTTGACCTTGTATGACAGCTACGAGGGTGAAGGGGGGTCGTTCCCGACAAGAAAGTAAGGCTCCTAGCGGTGCGCCCATTGGTCATCAAAGCTAGCAGAAGTTCCAAGGATGGAGTGGGGTCATTTTCACCATGGGGCTCCCGCCCCAGCGCCGCGCACAGTCGTCCTCAGAGTTTGAAGCAGCTACAAAGACGCAAGGGGGTCGTTCTCAAAATGGGGCTCTCACCTCAGCGCCGCGCACATTTGTCTTCAAATCTCATGAAAGCTACATAGATCGAGGGCGATTCCTTGTCAAAATGGGACTCTTGCCTTGGCGCCGCGCACAGTCATCTTCAAACGCCTACAGCAGTGGCACGGGGAGGGGGCGGCTCCGTTTCCAAGTAGGGCTCTCGCACTAGCGCCGCGCAGATTCGTCTGCAGGCTCGCAACAATTGCAAGGATGGAAGTCGTCCCGTTTCAAGCCGGGGCCCTCGTCATATCGCAGCGCACATTCGTGTTAATAGCTTGTATCAGTTGTAAGGATGAAGGGCGGGTCTTTTTTCCAAATGGGGCTCTCCACTTAGATTGCCGAGCGCATTCGTCTTCAGCGTTTGAACGCTTGCAACACCTACGAGGATGAAGGGAGCTTCTTTTCCAAACTGTACTTCTCGCTCAAACTGTAGTTCTCGCCCAAGCTCACGACCAGCAGGCTGAACATATGTAACAAGGATGGAGGGCAGCTCTTTTCAAGCTGGGACGTTTGCCTTTGACTTCCACGAATGTAGATCGCCTTGTGCATAAGTTGCTCGGATGGGGGAAGCGGTTATTTGTTTCGCTCCCGCTGGACATGCCGCAGAACTGTATGAGCTTACATGTTCGCATGCCTAAAACTCGCCAGAAGGATTCAAGGCAATTCCCGAATTCTTCCTCACATCGGGGCGTTCGCCTGAGCGGCACGCACACAGGATGCTCGTCTTTCAAAAGGGTGCTTCGTGTGGCGAAAACGGAAGCGTGCATGGACTTTCGAGGAGGGGGCTTGTGATAGGGGGGGTGTATTGCAGTATAGTTCATGCTTCCTTGGCTTGGTTTGATCCTCCTGCTCTCCTCCTCCTCCTCCTCCTCAGTCCCTCTCCCCATCGCTCCTCATTCTTCCTTCCTCTTTCTCCTCACTTATCCTCCTCCACTTGTTCCCCCCCATACCCTGCCCAGCTCCTCGGACTGACCTGGGCACGGGAAGAGGAAAGAGAGGGGAGGGACAAACTACGTGCGCCCGCGCCATATCTGACATCCTACCCCTCCCACCCGTCGCTTCCCATTGCGCTGGTTCTTCTCTGTCCGTCCAAAGGTGCCGCAGCGGACGTGGAACACCCGAGAGGACCCCACCGTGAAATGCGCAGTGATGGAGGAAGGGACACATACCCACACATGGACAGGGGTCCGACACCTGATACGGCCACTGACTGATACGTGCGAGAAGTTCGTGTCTCCAGCAATTACGGCAAGAGCCATGTCAGGAAAGGCCCACCAAACCTGCACAGCACGAAAGGCTCCAATATTTCAGAATCCGCTGCGGGCAAAATCAGAGCGGATGTTGTCAGCTCACGTTTTCGGCTCCTCCTCCTCCGTCATCTTCCTTCGGGAATCTTCTGGCCCGGGTCAATCCAGACCCAGGTTAGTCCGGCCTTGCAGGAACCTGCAAGATCCTGCACCCCAACCCGGGTCAATGCGAAGGATCCTGCGGGATCCTGCAGAATCCTGCACCCCAACCCAGGTCAATGCGACCCTGGCCCTGCAGGATCCTGCAAGATCTGGCGCTCTGGCTGACACCCGTTTGCATTGACCCCCGTCTCAAGGCTCCCGATTCCTCCTCCCCATCCTCGTCCGGCCCCCTTCCCACAGGCAAACTTGAGGAGCGCAGGGCTCCCTCTGGCCCCGAGCGCCGCCACCGAGAACCAGCGCGCGACGCACTGCACCGGCGGGGGCCCAGGGATGCCTGCCAAAACGGGGCACTTCGAGATCAAGCCGACGTTGTTCTCCTCATCATCAAGGGCTCCCAACTTCGCGCTTCGCGCTCCGCGCCGCCTCCCAGGGGAGAGGAGGAGGGCGAGGAGGGATCGGAGCCGAGCCGCGAAGCGCGACGCGCGAGCAACTTCGCGCCCTCGAGGGCGCCCTTGTATCATGTTCCTATCCCCCTTCCCCCACGGCGCCGTGCAGCACGGTCCACGAGCTCTGCGCCGCTGTCCGCTGCCAGGTCCTGGAGCCCGCGGCGCGGTGGCGGGGGGGGAGGCGAACAGGGAGGCGCGAGAGACGGGAGGCAGGGGCTCCCAACTTCGCGTTTCGCGCTGCGCGAGGCGCGAAGTGCGAATAACTTCGCGCTCTCGCGCCGCCTCCCAGGGAAGAGGAGGAGGAGGAGGCGGAGGAGGAAACGGAGCCGAACCGCGAAGCGCGAATAACTTCGCGCCCTCGAGGGCGCCCTTGGGGAGGCAACGGGGGGCGGCGCGGCGGAGCGGACAGGGAGAAGGGGGGCGCAAGACGCGGGGAGGAGGCGACGCGGGGCCAGGGACGAGCACGATTACTCCTCCTCCTCCTCTTCCGCTTCCTCCTCCTCCTCCTCCTCTTCCTCCTCCTCCTCCTCCTCTTCTTCCTCCTCCTCCTCCTCCTCCTATTCCTCTTCCTCCTCCTGCGGGGGGGGAGGAGGGCCGAGCGAGGGGGAGCGCGCGCTGCCACGAGCGAGGCGCCGGGGCCAGAGAGGGCGAGAGAGGGCAGAGGGGGGGGCGGCAAGCCGGAGGACCTCCTCCTCCTCCTCGCTTGCTCGCTCGCTCCGTAAGGACTCGCATAGTCGCTCCGTAATGGTTCATACATTTCGACCCATGCAAGGAAAAGGAGGTATGAGATTAGGACGAGGGCGTCACCTCCTCCAGCTCCTTCTTGAAACGGCACGCGCGCCGCACTCGCGAGAGGAGTGGGGAGAGACAAGGGAAGCAGCAAAGGGGGGACAGGGGGGCCCGTGCTGAGCAAGGGCTCCAGGATCCGCGTCCACCGTCACTCGGCCTCCTGCCCGTACCTCTGATTATGCAGCATACAGTCCTCGCCCATGCCACGCTGAAGATAAGGGGCCGAGGGCGGAAGCTGCCCCGACTCGGGCTCGATATCTTCCATGGCCCAATCCCAGACGCCGCAAGCAAGATGCGGGAACACTCTGAGGGCCTGCGGTGCCATGGTGCGAGCCGACCGCCTGCCTTGCGTCGGAGGGCAGGCGTTGGCTTGGGCCGTGCACCATCTTCCCCCTCCCCCCTTCCCCTCAAGCGTTCTGTGAGCATGCCCCCTGGTGCACCTGCCTCCCCCCTGGGCAAGCGAAATACCGTGCTGCAGAGAGGGGCGACAGACTCCCAGGAGACCCGTGGGCTTGAGCGCCTGAAAACCAGACGAGCATGGATCAATCCTGGACAAGGTAACTCTTGGCTGCTCGAACAACGCACGCCTGCGAGGCGATCTCCAGCTGCTGAGGGCTTTTCGGATCGGAGTGCTGATGCAGGATGTTCCATGAAGGCAGGCACTCCGTTCAACCAGCACGTGTGCAAGAAATGAGCGCTGGCACGCAAGAGGCAACTTCCCAGCCTGACCTGCTGGAATTCCGCTCCTCCTCCTCCTCCTCCTCCTCCTCCTCCTCCTCCTCCTCCTCATCATCATCATCATCATCATCATCATCATCATCATCATCGTCCTCCTCCCTCTCCTTCTCCTCCTCCTCCTCCGCCTCCTCCTCCTCCTCGAGGCAAGCGGAACAAACAGCGAGGGGCGGCGAGGGGAAGGGAATGGAGGGCAGGGCAGGAGGTCACACGCCCGCCGCAAGCGATCACGGCCCCATGCCGGCGGCCGCCCACACGTTCTCCGCTGGCCCCGATCTCTTGCGCGCGTGGATCCCTCGCCCGGGCGCAGCGCCGTCGCCAAATCCATGCGCGCGCAGGGTGTCGCGGTTGGCCGGTTCGCGCAGAGGACCGCGCAAGACGGTGAGCTCACGCGCGCATCTGGATATGGTGGTGCTGATCTTGCCATCGCTCGGACGTCCATTTCCCGTGCACGTTTTGGTTTTGAGCGTTTTTCCCCCTCAAGCTATCCCCTGTTGGGTCATCTCTTTGAAGGGACACCGCCGCACGTCACTCACACTTTCCTCCTCCCCCTCCTCCCTCCTCCCATCCTTGCCTCTGCCCGGCATGTGTCAACAAAGCTGACACACACCTCACACGCTTCGTGGCCCCATAGGGAGCTCCACCGAAGATGTCCGTGGCGCAGTCCGCCTGCGTCCCACCCTCACTCATTTACGCGCACCCCTCATACGCTTCGTGGCCCCACAAAGAGGAGGTCCATCGAAGGCCCCAGCGGCAGGTTCCGCATTGCGTACTCGCACCGGATTCGGCACACCCCTCACACGCTTCATGGCACCACAGGGAGCTCCACCAAAGGCCCCAGCGACAGGGTGCGGATGCCGTACCCGCACCCGACTCGGTCGGCGCACCCATCGTTACGCTTTGTGGCTTCATATGGAGCTCCACCGAAGGCCCCAGCTGCAAGGACGCATGGCGTACCCGCACCTGCCTCGGCGCACGCCTCATACGCCTCGTGGCCCCAGAGGAAGCTCCATGGAAGGCCTCAGCGGCAAGGTCCGCATGGCGTACCCGCACCCGACCCAGCGCACTCCTCACACATCGCGTTGCCCCTTCCACCACTGAAGACCCCAGCGGCAGGGTCCGCATGGCGTATCCGCACCCGATTCGGCACACCCCTCACATGTTTCGCGGCTCCCGAAGACTCCCCGCGGCAAGTTCCGCATGGCGTGACGCAAGGTCCGCATTGCGCACCCGCACTCGATTCAGCGCACCCCTCGCACGCTTCGTGGCCCCATACGCGGCATGGTCTGGACGGCGTGCCCGCACCCGACTCCGCGCACGCCTCACGCGTTCCGTGGCCCCTTTCATCGGAGGCCCCAGCGGCAGGGTCCGCACGGCGCATCTGCAACCGATTCGGCACACCCCTCACACGGTTCGTGGCCCCATATGGAGCTCCACCGATAATGATTCGCATAACTGCTGTACTTACAGCTGCATATGGTTGGGCCCTTCGCCTGCGTAATCCCACTGACCCTCTGGGCATAGGTGGATTAACGAGTTATTCAGATGTTTCTTACCATTGTTCTTCCAAAGCTGCTCCTGACCCTGCTCGGGTGAGGGTTTTACCTGTCCTCATGCCCCCTCCCGTGGGCCTCGAAGAGGGGGGGCGCGAGCGGTCGGAGCGTCCAAGATGGCCCAAGATGACTCACAGAGCGCCCTAGATAGCCCAATATTGCCTGTAAGATGACCCAAGATAGCTGAGTATGGCGCAAAGTAGCGTCCGACAGACCTCCGAGAGGCCCCAAGACAGCCCGAAGAAGGTTCCAAGTGCCCTTCGAACCTTCCAAGGCCCCACCCCAAAGACCTCTCTCTTTCAAAAGCATTTTGGAAAACAAGGGGTTTCGGCTTCTGTCTGGCCCTTCCGCATCCGATGTTTATTGCTGCCTCACGGCTCAAGGTGGCCCAAGATGGCCCAAGAGAGGCCCAGAGGGCCCCAAGACGACCCCAAGACGTCATTTGTCGGCCACCGAAGGGAAGACCTGAATTGATGAACCCCCTCTTGTTGAGCCGTGGGGGCCCAATATTGGAGGGTGCGCCGCTGGATCTCCCCAACGGGGGGGGAGTGGGAACCCCTCACCCCCCCCCTTTCCCTGATCCGTCGTCGGGGAACCCGCCCCACTCCCCCCCCCTTTCCCGGTCCGTCGTCGGGGACGCCCCCCCCTCCCCTCCTTTCCCAGTCCGCCGTCGGGGATTCCCCCCCCCTCTCCCCCCCTTCCCCCCCTTTTGACCGCCAAATTCGACCACCCCCCCCCTCCCCCCCTTTCGCCACGGCGCCCCCTGGCTCTTGAACCAGACCCCTACCACACCTGACACTACCACCCCGACCACCCGTAACCCTGACCCCAAACCCTACCCCTAGCCCCAAACAGCACTCAATACTCATTGTTCACTACTCACTACCCACTACTCACTACCCGCTACTCACTACTCAGTTCTCAGTACTCACTGCTCACTACTCACGACTCACTACTCACTACCATCTACTCACTGCTCACTACCCATTACTCACTACTCACTACTCTCAACTCACTGCCACTATTCACTAGTCACTACCCAATACTCGGTACTCATTACTCACTAGACACTACTCACTACTCACTACTCACTACTCACTAGTCATTAATCACTACTCAATACCCACTAACCACTACTCACTACTGAGTCACCACAATTCACTACTCACTACTCACTGCCCACAACTCACTACTCAATACCCGCAGCTCGCTACTCCCTACTCCTTACACAGTACTCACTCACTGCTCACTACGCACTACTCACTACTCGCTACTCCCTACTCGCCACCCGATGCGCAATATTCACTACCCACTACGCACTACTCACTACTCCCTACTCCCTGCTCCCTACTCACTAGTTACAAATCACTACTCAATACTAACTACTCACTATTCACGACTCACTACTCTCTACTCGCTACTCCCTACGCACGACCCGCTACTCACTGATCACGCCTCACTACTCCCTACACACTACTCACTACTCACTACGCACTAATCGCTACTCTCTACTCGGTACTCACTATTCCCGACTCACTACTCACTACTGACTACTCCCTCCTCATTACTCACCACTCACAATGCCCTACTTGCTACTCACTATTCACTACGCGCTACTCCCTACTCACTACTCACTACTCACTAGCCACTCCCCACTCCCCACTACTCACTACTCACTACTCACTACTCACTGCGCACAAGTCACTACTCACTATTCACTACTCACTACCCACTGCTCGCTACTATCTACTCACTACTCACTATTCACTACTCACTACTCACTACTCTCGACTCACTTCTCCATATCCCGAGGCCAGGCCTTCTTCCCCTTGCGGGAGAGGCCCCTTCCCTGGCCCCCTGCTCGGCGCAGAGGGGGGAGGGGGGTTCCCCCCCCCCCCGCCCCTCCAGCGCCAGGGGGAGGGGGGGTTTCTGCGAGCCCCACCCCCCTTTCGATTCCAGGGTAATCCAGTGGCGCGTTTTCCCTACCCCAAGAGCCAGGAGCTCAAACAGGGCCCCGGAGCCCCTCAAGGGCGACCCAAGAGTGCACCAGGAGGCCCTGCGAAGACCCCAAGAGAGCCCCAGGGTGGCTCCAAGAGGCCTCCGAGAACCGCCGATAATAGCATATCTGCGAGGGCCGCCTCCTCATCCTTCTTGTCCTCGTCCGTTCCTTCTTTCCTTCATTCCTGCCGTCCTGCCTCCGTCTCCACCTCCTCCTCCTCCAGCTCGCGCAAATCCCAAACTGCGGTGGCATTTTTTATTGCTCGAACTCCTGACCGATCTTCTCCCTGAAGCTGTCGCCGCGAGGGAGAGACAGGGATAGGCGCGCACACATGTACACACGATGCAGAAGGCAATGCACTGCGACCCACATCCGTTCAACATTAGAGTTGCCTGCGGCATCTGCACTGGGGCCTCTTGGAGTTCTAGCGACAGTCGTAGGACTGCTTCTCTATCTCCATTGCCGTCAGCTCCAGAGCGAAGGACCCCCTCATCACCTTCAGTAGCTCGATCTTGACGAAGTGATTCTCCTCCTGCTTGATCGCGCTGCACTTCGCGACCCCTTGCATGCGACCTCTCTTGGCACGAATACCATGACCTTGCTCAGGCGTCTCCATCTTGCAGGGCGAGTGACTCACGATTCTGGTCATGGTAGCTGCGCTCCACTTCCTTCACCTGGCTCACTATCGCGCCCTCGATGGACTCCAGACACATCGCCTGGACAAAATTCGCGCAGGTGCGATAGTCCAACGTCGCCTTTGAATGTAGATTCTGCCCCGGGCCGCCGTCGACCACGCCACTGGGCACTTTGACCGCCATTCTAGTTGATGCCGCCACACAGCTCATCATGTTCGGGCAGCTCGTCCCGGCATCTCTTAGGCTCTGGAGGAGACTGCGCACTGTTCGAGGGTCTTCGCTTGCAGCGAATCCAATCATCTGATATTCCAGAGCGCTGGCAAGGGGCACTGCGGGCCCCTTTTGCTCGCTTGGCGAAACCCCCCTACGGGCGCGACGGCGCTCTCTCTCCGCTGCCCCCTCCTCCAAGGTCGACGATTCATCTGCTAGCTGATGCGCTCCAGATCGAACGCGTGCTCTCAGTAAGTCATGGGCCTTGGCCTTCTCCTTCGTCAGGGCATCGGCCAGCATCGACGACGTCGGGGCCCGCCTCAGACAGCCCCCGAATATCTGGAGGGCCTGCTGGGCAATCATGAGCTCCACATCGCACCTCCTGTCCTCGAGAGCCCCTGGGGACCCGATCTTATTGATGTGATCGCATGCAGACTTGGCGTCCATAGTCGCAGCGGCCTCGAATCGCCTCAGGAACCCACGCATATTCCCGAGGGTAAACTGCGGAACGTAGCCCCTGCAAAGAAACGCATCGCCCGCCTCAGATGTCCCGAGCCGTCGGCAAGCGCAGAGGCCTTCCCACCCAGGGGTGATCGCGTTGCCCTCTCAAGTCGGTAGCTCCGCCATATCATAAGGTTCCACTGTGATACCTGACCCGCTGCACCCCCAGCGTCGTCGCGCTCAGTATATAGCCGCCCTGGGCCCTCTTGAGACCCTGGCTGTCACCCTTGGCGAAGTCGGCGTGGGCCATCATCCTGAGCTCCTGGGCGGAATGGAGAAGCGCCGTGCTGTGAGATCCTTGTGCCGACGAGCGCGACGCACAAACGTCTTCGACTCTTTCACCGCCTTCGCCGTCGGACGCAATAGCAACGATTGGTTCTTGTTCGCCTGGCACGAGAGGTCCGGCCTCGACTGTCCAGCCAGCCCATTGCCAGCCTGATTCATTGAAATCAGCACAGACGCCCCCCTGGGTAACGCCTTACTCTCGTGCCCAGCACATCGTTTCATTTACGGTAGATGACGAGCCATACGTTCAGAGCGCAAGGTGGCTCGTTCAGTTCTCGCGCGTTCCGAACCGTTCTGTTCCTCATGATGGCGGTGATGTTGACAGCGATGACGGCGATGATGCTCATGGTGATGACGGCGATGACGGCGTTGACAGCGATGACGGCGATGATGCTCATGGTGATGCACAACGTGATGTCCTCGGCTGGTCGCTAATGGCCGCCTCCGAGTCCCTGGCTGATGGCCTGTCCTAGGGGTGCATCCGAGCCCCGTCGACTCCTGTCAGCTGGCCTGTCCTCGGGGTCCCGCCTCAGGCCGCCTCCGGGCCCCGCCTCGAAGGCCTTGCCTCGGACGGCGGCGGCGCGGCCGGAGTCGTCGCCGTCGAAAGCCTCGCCTGGAGTCTTCGCCGTCGTCGTCGTCTTCGTTGTCGTCGTCTTCGCCGTCGACGTCGTCGTCGGATTATTCGCGTGTGCGTGCGTAGTCGGAGTCGTAGTCGTCGTCGCGGTCGTCTTTGTCGTCGGAGTAGTCGTCTTCGCCCTCGTCGTCGGAGTCGTCGTCGTCGTCGCCCTCGTCGCCCTCGTAGTCGGAGTCGTCTTCGTAGTCGGAGTCTTCGGAGACGGAGTCGTATACGTCGTCGTCGGAGTCGTCGTTGGAGTCGTCGTCGTCGCAGTCGTCGTCGACGGAGTCGCCGTCGTCGCCGTCTTCGCTGTCGTCGGCGGCGCCTGGGCGTCGCCGTCGGGCCCGAACATCGGCGCCCCATCAGGGCCCCAATCGGCGCGGAAATCCAAGTCGTCAGCGAACGGCGGCGGGTCCTCCGACATGGTCGGCTCCATGGGAAGAGGGCCCTCCTCCAACGGCGGCGGCGGGTCCTCCGACGAGGATGAGGGAGAGGGAGATGGGAGTACGTACGTACGCGCATATGAAGGGCACTGGAGTAGGAAGGATGGGGGAGATGGGGGCACGCAGGGATGAAGAGTGAGTAGGAAGGGCGAGGGAATAAAAGATGAGGAGGGGGGAGATGGGGAAGGAGAGGGCCTGTCCTGGCGGTTGAGGCGGAGCGGCTGGATAGGTTGAAGATCATGAAATGATGAACGCGGCCTCGGCGGGCTGGCCGCTGAAGTGCCGGCGCGCCCTCGCGACCACCGCAAGTTTCGCGCAGCGCCAGCCCAGGATCGCATCATCAGGGCCCGCAAGGGTCCTTGCCCAGAGGACCAACCGGCCCTCGCGCCGGTGCGTAGGATTGAGGTTAGGACCGGTACACGTCACTTTGATCGCCGTGTACCGGTCCGTATGTTCGACCACGAATGCCCCCATGGAAGCGCCGTCTGGAACAATGTGCCCCATCGCTTCTGGGGGCTTCTCGCACAGGCGGCGCCGTTGCAGGGGGCCCCCCGTGCAACGGCAGCGCCTCCCGGCGCAGCCGCGCTGTTGCAGCCGCGAAGCGCCGGGCAAAACTAACAGGGGACGCGGCATGAGGAACTCCATTTCCTGGCTGATAGCCTGTCCGAGAGCGCGGGGACGGATGGGATAGAAGTTATGGTGGGCGAACTGAGACGCCCCCCCCCTTCGGGCTGGGGGCGTCTCCCGAGCCGAAATGCTGCGCGCGCGTGTAGCGCGGGGTGGTGGCGGTGGTGGTGTGGGGGGCGGGGGGGGGGGGGGGGGCGACGTACGCGCGTGCTTACACGCGCGTGCGTAGCGAGAGGGCGACGTCTCTCCCTGGGCTGGGCGCGCGCGCGCGCGCAACGCGCGCGCAGACGCATGCGCTCGCGCGTGCGCATGGCCCCGGGGGGGTGGCATGAGGAACCCCATTCCCTGGCTTGACCTGAGATCTCACCCCCCCTCGGGCAGAGGGGGGCGCTGGGGCCCACAGGAATTTCGCGCTGCATCGGGCGCGAGGCAGAGGGCGACGCGCGTGCGCACGCATAACGTGCGAGCGCATTGAGAGGGCGCAATCTCTCTGTCTCGGATGCGCGTGCACGCATACAATGCACGCGCAGACGCGCGCGCGTGCGACCAGGGGGGGGGGGGGGGGGGACATGCGCGCGCGCACGCGCGCAAGGGGGGCGCGGGGAACGCGCGGCGCGCGCACGCACGCGCGCAAGGGGAGCGCGGGGAACGCGCGCGCACGCAGCACGCCTGGAGGGGGAGGAGGAAGGAAGATTTTGAGGCAGCGTCCGAGGCCCTCCGCCCCCAGCGGTCGCGCGCCCGAGCGCGTTCGCAAGCCCCCGCGGCGCCAGGATTGCCTCCCCTTGCAAATCTTCCCCTCGAGACTTCCTTCCCCAGCAAGCCTTTCCCTCTGCCGCCGAAGCCGAAGCGGCGTCAGCGAAGAGCCTTGCTGATGGCCTCCTCTTCGCTGGCATCCTTCATTCCGCCACAATGGGCGCAGGGGGCGCAGGGGGTCGGGGCTGCAGGTCGTCTGGGAGATCGGGCGGCCAGCGCCCGAAGACGCCGCAGGAATGCAGCCCTTGCCCGAGCCATTTGGAGAGGCAGATAATGCCGCACACGAAGGTTGATTCCATGACGTACTGTTCGCGTGGAACATCCTGGGGAGGGAGTGCGCGCCCTTGATCATATCCCCTGCCTTCGGCACGCAACTTTTGAACAGGCTGAGGAGAATCTCGGAGGCATCTCTGACTCAAAAGCGATCCGGCGGGAACAACGGCGCGAGGAATTGCTGGAAGCGGAGGCCACGCCGGACCTTTCCATGCTGCCGCCCGCCATCGAATGGCAGCGTCTGCGCCCACTCTGTGGTGAGGTTAGGCAGCGGGTGCCACAGGTGCGGCACAGTCACGCGGGCAGTGGAGAAGCGGTTATCCAGCAAATGCTGAATGTCGCTCTCCCATGCCTTCAGCGCCCCTGCACGGCGCATCGACTGCATCGGCTGCCTGCGCCGCGCTGCGAGGTCCACTGGAAATTCCAGTTGGAGCCAGCGCTGGCGCGCTGTGTGGCACAGGTCAGCTCGCCTGAGAGCGCCCAGGTGCGCTCTGGATGCATGCGCTTGCTTCAGTTGCGCCAGCTTCGCATCGCTGGCGGCCTTCTGGGGCAGAGTTCGTGCCGCCATGTGCCCCTCTAAATCCTCGGCCTCCTCCTCCTCCTTCTCCTTTTGCTTCCGTCGACGCTCGAACTCTTCAGCTTTCACAAGCTCTGCCCAATTCCTGAGCAACGCGCCAGTGGCCGAACTGGCGACCCTCTCGGTCAGCCCCTCCTCGAGCATCTGGTTGCGAAGCCGACGCTGGAGCGCGTCATCCTGGAGGCGCACGGCTTCGTCGCGCATGATCCGCCGCGCCGTGGGCACGTCCAGAGAGACGGCCGGAGCGGCGGCTCCTCGCTTGGCTGACCGCCTCCACGCAGCGCCGCCGCATCCGCGCCGCCCACTCCTGCCCCTGCGCCGTCGCCATCGCCCGCTCCAGCGTCGCCGCCGCCCTGGGCCGCGCGGCCGCCGCCCCGGCCGCCCCCGCCGCCGGGGCCCCACCCGCCGAAATCCCCACCATCGTCATCGTCGGTTTCGGGTTTCTCGTCCTCGTCAAAGGCATCGACTCGGAAAGCCTCTTGGCCTTCCTCCAGCGCTTCCTCCATTCCAGCATGGTCCTCAACGAGCGCATCGATCGCAACCTTCGGCGACGAATTGGACCGCCTCGTCGCGGATGCCCATGTCAATGAACCCGGGCCCCCAAGTGCGTCCTTCTTGTTCGGCGATCCTCTCCAGGACACTCCGTAAGTCTTTGGGGCCCGTCTGCAGGCGCCCATTCCTTGCTAAGCCGCTGTGGGGAATGGTGTGCCAGACCATCTTCGCCAAGGTGAGGATGGCCTCCCTGGTCAAGTCGGGCATCTTATTTGACCCCCCCCCCGTAACCTGTTCATCTCTTCAAGCGCGGGCTCGTTCTCGCACTGGGTGACCAGTCGCTGCGCCAGGGCGTGGAGATAAGCATCGCTCACCTGCGTGAACGGGGCGCAGCCGCCACCGTGGAAGAGGAGCACGTGGCCCTTGCGACGGACGCAGTCCGCCACCTCCTCAGTCAGGCGCCCACTGTGCCAATCCAGAACCACAACGAAGCTCTCCTGTTGTGTATTCGCAAGGGGCAGCATCCACTCCAGGGCCTCCACCACGTCCTCCGAGCGATGAGACCCGTTCTCCTGCGTCTGGACCTTCATCCAAGGAGCCAAGCGACCAAAGGCCTGGAGGTTTTTCCAGACGGCACCGCCAGGGGCTGCCCTGAAGAGAGCGGCGCACTTCTGAGGCACATTGGGGTCGTCGTCGGACATCGGGCACGACGCAACTGCGCTCAGGATGGTGTACATTTCGCGGGTCTTCGCGTGGTTCTCCTTGACAGTTGGCACGTGGCCCCCTCGCCCCCCGCGCGTGCCCGTGAGCCCCGCGTCGTTGAACCAAGACGGCTTCTGGTCGATGCTGACCCAGCGCGCGGGCGCGCCCGGGAAGCAGGTCCCAAAGTCGACGCAGACAGAACACGTTACCGAGATATTCTCGGACGCGGCGCAGTATCTTTTTGTAAGACACCTTATACTTCATCCATGACATCCTGATTTCGATGCCGTACATCCGCCTCCATCGTCCGAACCACGCTGCCCTGGCGTTGCCGACCAGCTTCGGCAGGTCCTTCTCGGGGTGGCCCTTCTGGACCAGATATCCACGGAGGTTCCGAGCCTCTCCCATCAGAAGGTGGGGGCCGGAGCGCGCACATAGACGTCGTATGTGGTCCACAAAGTACCGCAACAATGCGCGGCAGAGACCGCAAGCCTTGCGACCGTTCAAGGCCCCGCCACTGGTGCGGAAGGAATTGGTCTTGCGCTCCCCGCGCAGAGCGTTCGGCGAAGTGGCGCCCTCTGCTCGTTTTGGGAGGACGTATCTCAATGCCCTCGCATGCCGCACTCTCTGACGGTGGTCGTACCGTATCTGCATCTCGGCTTCAAGAAAAAGGCGTCAGAAATCCGTCCACCCTGGGCCTGCGCGCGCCCCCCTGCGCTTCCTCGCTGATCGCCTGGCTGGCATCCGCGTCAATGACCCTCGTGCCCATGCCCAGTCCTGGCCGCATCCGGGGCCAGAGTTCTTCTGCCATGCCATCCAGGATCGCCCCTGCCTTCTGCTTGCCGTGGTCCGAATGCACGAAACTAATGGCCCACTGCCCGTGGGCGATAATAGCATTGATAGCATGGCCCTGCCTGGCGTACTCCTTGCGGCGAGGGGTGGCCTTCTTATCGATCTCCACAACATCGGCCCTGCGCTTGCGGTTGCCCTGGAAGAGGGCGATGAAGGCACTCATGGCCCGTGCAAGAGTACGCGCGTACGTACCTGGCCCAGGCTGATCGCCTGGGCCAGCTGCGCATCGCCCCGCTGCTTGAACCCCTGTGGCTGCGCGCGTGCGTGCGTGCGCGACCCGGCGCAACTGGCGCGACTGGCCGAGCGCCCGTTGGTTCCTGGCTGATCGCCTGGCGGACACGACACGCACGTACGTGCGCGCGCACGCGCACATGCCTGGCGGACGTCGCGGTATTTTGGCATCGCTGACTCTATGTACTGCGCTGGCTGCTGCCCCCCAGCCAGGCTGGGACCAGGCCCCCAGCCAGGGTGGTACGCACTTGCTTTTCAACGCTGGCGCTCTCTCCCCCTGAACGGCATGAATCTTACCCCTCCCTAGACGAGAATGCACCAAACAGTGCGCGGGGCGTTTCCAGGCAGAAGAGGAGGAGGCAGCAGCGGCAGCGCGCAGGACACCGCGCACGTACGCACGCGCGCACGCATGCCTGGCGGATATCGTTCTTTTTTTCTCCTCGGGACGCAGCGGAGATACGCCACGCGCGCGCACGCGCGCGCGTCGCTCTTACCCCCCCCCCCCCCCCCCCGCAAGAGCCCACTTGCCCGCGAGTCGTGCGCGAAATTGCGTGCGCGAGATTCGCAACCTGCGTGCGCACGCACCCCGCGCTCAGTGGAAGAGGTCCAGCGTCTGCGTCCAGAGTCTGCGTCAGGCACGAGTGGGGGTCTCCACGTGGCGTCCTCGCGCCCGTGTCGGCACGACCCGGGCGCTGACGACGACAACTGGCGACGGCGCGGCACACCTGGCACGCGAGGGTGCTCTTTTTGTTTCAGCGGGCTCGCACAATCTGGCATGTAGTCCGAACAACGCGCCATCCCTCCGAAGAAGTGCGGCGCCCCGCGCCTAACCACCACCACCCGTTGCAGCCGGGGCCATGAGCCAGGGCCAGTGCTTTCGATGCACCGTCGTCTTCTCGACCTGCCCCGCCTGCTCGACCTGCACCGGGGTCTTCTCCTTCTTCTCGAACCTGCGCCGGTCCGGCGCGGACCTCTTCCTCGCGACCTGCGCGGGCCTCGCCACCTCGACCTGCGCCGGTGTCTTCTTCTTCTCGAACTGCACCGTCTCCTGGACCTGCTCCGTCGTCTTCGACCTGCACCGTCTTCTCGACCTGCGCCGTCTGTTCGACCTGCACGGCGGGCTGGGCGACCAACAGCGCGCGATGTGCTTGGCTGCCCCTGGCCTTCTGCAACGCGCACTCGAACAGCGCGTCGCCGTACTTCGACGAGCAGTTGATGTGCACGTCCTGCTTCATCTCGCGGCTGAAACATTTCCAAGCGTTGACGAGTCCTATGTCCCGGGCCCTTCGTGACGCATCAGGTAGTGGATTCTCATGCGTACTCAGGTTCGTGCAGGTCCTGCACCTCCATTTCACTCCATTGGTGTCCTTCGTGGGCTTGGTGTCCTTCGACTTCGGGCCCTTGCAACTCTTGCAGATGACGATCTCCGGTCGGGGTCCTTCCGCTTCGGAACCCTCAGGGCCCCCGCGGGCCGCCCCGCGGCTGCGGGCGGATGCAGCCCCGGCCGTTGCCGCCCCAGCCGCTGCCGACCTGCCCGCGCGCGCACGCAAGCACGGCGGCCACCTGGCTGATGGCCTCCGGCCCCCGCTTACGTATCTACGAACGTTTACGAAGCGGGCCTGAGCGTTCGAGCCCGAATGACGTCGGTTGGAGAAGAGGGGAGGGGAGTGACGCACGCACGCACCTGCGTCCGAGTCCGCACGCAGGCGGCAGCAGCGGCAGCGCGCCCGACGACGCGGCTGCACGTGCGCACATCTCTCTTGCGCCCCCCCACAAGAGCCCAGTTGCCCACGAGTCGTGCATGACATTCCCTGCGTGAGATTCGCATCCTGCGTGCGGGCTCACCCCGTACTCAGTGGAAGAGGTCCAGCGTCTGCGTCTCTTGGCTGTCGGCATCCTGTGTGAAAGCCTGCTGGGGCGATGTGGAACCGAGTTTTGCCAATTCTGGCAGCCACACGCTGGTGATATGCGTCTTGACTGGCTTGCGACGCGGAAGCTGCTTCACGTACTTCGCAAAAGCCTCAGCGTTGGCCTCGAGCTTCTTTATGTAGAAATCGGGCCCGTCGAAGAACCCCTCGCGGGGTGCACTCGGGACGTGGCAGCCTGCATTCCACGGCGTCACGTCGGCCTCGCGCGCGGCCTTGAACATGTCGGGCTTCGGCGCCCAAGCGGCGTCGTCTTCCAAAAGATGTGCCGTCGGCAAGGGCGGGACCGCCTGGCTGGAAGCCTCCGGTAGCCCCCTCTCCCTCCAAACGACCCAGTCCTCATAAGCCGCGATGTCCTCCGTAGTGGGTCGAAACGGCACTCCCCTGTGCAATCCCAACCTCTGAATGGAGCCGTCATTTACCATGTCCCGCACCGAACTGCTCACGACGCGCACGGGGCCATTCGCCGTCGCCCGCGGTGCAGGGGGCATGGCGATGGAAGCATTCCTGACCCGCGCCTGGCTGGCGCGTGGCTTCGGCCAGTGCAATCGCCCCGCTGCTTGAAGCGAAGTGGCGTCGACACCTGCCGTCAACGCGTACGTGCGCGCGCGTGCGTGCGTGCGTACGTGCTTACGTACGTAAGTGAGCACCTGCGTCTGAGTCCGCACGTACGTAGCACAGGGCGGCAGCAGCGGCAGCGCGCATGATAACGCGCACGCACGCACGCACACACGCACGCATTGGGCGTTTTGATACATATTTTGCATATCCCCAAGGGGGGAGTGATAACCCCGGGCGAGCGAGGGGGGTAAACCCTATGTTTCTTTTATAAAAGAGAATCTACGGGAAAACCCCACAGGAGGACCCCACGGGAGAACCCTACGTACGGGAGAACCCTGCGGGAGAACCTATGGGCGAGAACGCTATGGGCGAGAACGCTCCTCCGTCTCCTTCTCCTCACTTCTCCCGCTTCTTTTTTGGCCGCCGTGGGTGAAACGGGCACGTGCGACCTAGCGTAGGCAGGTGGCAGCGCAGGGACTGCCGAACATACGCGCCCGCCCCGTGGGAGAGCCACTACCGACAGACCGCAGAAGAGCAGTGAGAAACAATAAAAACATGAACATCAAAATAAGTAAATAGTAAAACAACTACTCAGAACAATAAGAATATTAACAAAAACATTAAACATACAAATAATAAGACATGTAAGACAAGTATGGAAAGAAAAAGCACGTGCGGGCCCCGGAAGTCTCGCCACCTGCTCCGGGGCCGGCTTGTCATCTCCTCCTCCTCCTCCTCCTCCTCCTCCTCCTCCTCCTCCTCCTCCCATGCTTCTGCTTCTGCTTCTCCTCCTCCTCCTCCTCATCTGGTCATCCAATGTCTTGACGACCCTTTGGCCCGTGAGGTCCCCAGAGGCCGACAGTTGCCAAAAAGCAGCGACTGCGACGTTCCGCCTCGCGCTGAGGTCTGGGAGGGAAGGCAAACAGCTCCGCATGAAGGGAGCGGGCCCTGTCGGAAACGGATCCTGGACCCCGAGGCCCTTCCCCGGGACCACTACTTCATCCTGAATTATTGTCTGGCGCCCCTGGGGCAACCCGCGGGCCCGATACGAATCAGGGCAAATTTGAATCATACGCTGCTGGCAGTTCTCCCTCGCACCACGCTGGACGAAAGCAGCAAACGTGGAAGATCCGAGGCGCTGCGGTAGCACATCCTATTTTCACACGCATGTGCTAATCTTCTTTGCCAATGCGCCGTCTAGGCGCGGCTTTCTCAGCTCAGCCCGTGGGGCACGGGGAGGGCCCCATGAGCCCGAAACCAGGAAAAACGTCAGGACCCGTTTCCTTCATTGGGCGGCGCGCCCAAGGGGGGAAGTGAGAAGGGGCGGGCCTTCTCAGAGGGCTCGGAAGCCCCCTGGCCTTCTCAGAATTTTGTGGAGCCTCCCCCGAAGACGCAGAAAACCCTTCAGAAGGCCCGGGGGGCTTCTGAGAAGCCCCGCCGCCTTCTGAGAGAGCTTGCTCCTTTTGACTTCCCCTGCTCGCTCGCCGCCGATTCAAGCGGGCCCTGAGGGAAACTAGGGGAACAAAAAGTCACACAAACATAAAAACTCAGAGGTCCGCGCGGACCTCCGAATTATGTTTTTATGTCACTTCTTGTCCCCTGGAAACGGGTCGTGGGCCCTGGGACTTTCCCCCAGGATGATCTCTTCATCCCGAGCCGTTGTCTGACGGCCCTGGGGGTCGTGTGGAGGGCCCCGCGAGCCCGACAACGGCGGAAAACCTCAGGACCCGTTTCCCTCAAGCCATGGCTCGCCTCTGGCATTAAAACAAATGCATAAAGCACGGCATAGAAGCCCAGGCAGAAGAAGAAAAAACGGCACAAACATAAACTGTTGGCGCTCCGCACGGATTTCTTGGATCTGCGCTGGACCCTCCGTAGCGCCTGGGGCGGCGCTGGAGGCGCCGCAGGGGGGCTCGGGCACGGATCCAAGAAATCCATGCCGCGGGGCGCCACAAGTTCATGTTTATGCCGCTTCTTCTTCTTCGACCGGCTCCCCCTGGCGAAGGGTCCTCGCGCCCGCACGCTGCGCTGGGAGCTCCGCCGGCGGCCTCCATGAAGAAGATGGCGAGCGCGGGGCGCTGGATATAGACGCGCGCCCCCCACAAGGGGGGGGTGTCTGGCGCGCAGGGGGTCGCGGGGCGGCCTGCAGCAGCTGCTGCTGCGGGGGCTCGCGCGCGGCGGAGGAAGGAGACCGAAGGAGGCTAAGGCCCGGACCCCCTCGCGCCGCGAAAAAGTCGCGACGGGAGCCTGTTTTTTGCAATTTTCGGCCTCCGGGGGCCCTTACAGGGCCTCGGGACCCTGAAACAAACAATTCAGGATGCAAAAACCGGTCCCAGGGAAGGGGTTCAGACCCCTCGGGGCCGACGTCATGAAAAAAACATTACGTCGAGTGTTTGGGTAAGACGAAGCCAGGACGAGGATAAAATCGGGCGAGGATGCACTCGGACCGCTGACCTAAAGAACGATCCATAAGGAACGACGCCCCTCTTATCCAAGAGTTAAGCATCAGTTTCCCACAGAAAACCTCATGACAACCTAAGAAAAGCTGTGAAATAATGAAGGAACACCGAGCCCCTCCCCAAGGACAATTGTTCCTTCTTCAGCGCCCCGACTGTACATCGGAAGTCTCTGAGATCCGGCGGCTCTGGAGGATGTGTCTGGCGCCGCGGACTTCCCAGAGCGTTCCGGAACGCTCTGAGAGCGCTCTGGAACGGATTCGTCTTCGTCCTGGCCCCGTCCGAGAGGCCCACATCTCCGGCGGTCTGATTTCTTCGCCCCAGGCGTTTTTCACATGGGCGATTGAGGAACCCTGAACCCCCTGAACCCGACAACGTTTCCACGTCTTGGGGGCGCATCTTTTTCTTCCGCCGCCTTTCGCCGGCCTTCTGCCGGCTTCTGCCGGCGGAAACGGCCTCACTTTCCTTTCGGGGAGACGTAAGACCTGGGTACGGGGGACTCGGAAATCCCCGACGAGGTCGTCAAAAAAATGACGAGGCCGAGCCTGCATTTTGACGAGGCCTCCCGCTGCAGACATCCCACAAAACTCCTCCTCGTCAAAATCCGAACCGCGGTCGTCAAAAAACGATGGCGAACCCGAGTCCTGGCAAACCCGGGTCTTACGCTCCCCCGATCCTTCCGCCGGCCTTCCGCCGGCTCTCGCCGCGGAAGAGAGGACGACTCCTCGACCCTCGAAGGCAAGGCCATTTCGGAACGCCCCGCCTGGCATTTGATCCCAAAGTTTGCAGTCGGGCTGCTGAAATAAAGAACGCCAAATAAGGAACGAAGCCCCTTCTGTGGCTTCAAGAAAGCTTGGGTGCACGAGAAGGGCTAGGGGAACATCCACGGAGGGACGTAAGGAACACCGAGCCCCCTCCGAATCCAAACAGTTCCTTATTTCAGCGTCTTGGCTGTGAGGCACGGTTGAGGGCTCAAGGGTCCGGGTTTTTGGTTCTCGGGGTGTCCCGTCGCTTTCCCCCGATTTTTCGGCCTCCGGGTCCCGGCCCGGCATCGGGCCCGGGGCCGTGAGAACTGGGCCCGTGTCAAGAAACTGGCCCTGTGGAACGGCTCGAGGCCTCTGGGGCCACGCACTGAAACCCTGAGATCCAACGTCGCGGACAAAAACTAACGACGTCGCGAAAAACCGCGACTAGATCCCTGGACCCCACCTTTTCGTGGCATCGTGTTCATCCAGATCGACCTGTAAGGGTCCCGGGGGCCAAAGCAAGGCGAAAACGCCTGGTGTGAACAAAAGCCAACGTCCAGAACTCAAGGAACAAACACGCGGTTTCTTGGATCTGTGCTGGAACCCCTCCCTGGCGCGCTGAGCGCCCCAGGGGCGGCGCCCTGGGCGGGCTCCAGCGCAGATCGAAGAGATCCGCGCGGAGCTCCGACAAATTTCTTCGATGAAACAGAATCTGTACCCCTTCCTGGGGATCAGCTTGTCGTCCGGAGTTCGTTTTTGACGGTCCCGAGGCCTGATAAGGGCCCCTGGAGGCCGAAGATGAGGAAAAACCTCCCGTCGCGATGCGCGTCTTTTTCACGACGCGAGGGGGTCGGGACCTCTGGAGCCACGCACCGAAACAGACACGTCGTCGGACCTCTGGGATGGCCTCCAAGTGGCCATGTCCTCTCAGTCTCGGGTGGGAGGAGGAGGAGGAGGAGGAGGAGGAGGAGGAGGAGGAAATGGCGGAGGAGGCGGAGGAGGAAGAGGAGGCGGAGGAGGGGGAGGAAAGAGGCGGAGGGGGAGGAGGAGGAGGAGGAGGAGGAGGAGGAGGAGGAGGAGGAGGGGAGGAGGAGGAGGAGGAGGAGGAGGAGGAGGAGGCGGAGGAGGCGGGGGAGGAGGAGGAGGAGGAGGAGGAGGAGGAGGAGGAGGAGGAGGAGGAGGGAGGAGGAGGAGGAGGGGGAGGAGGAGGAGGTGAGGAGGAGGGGGAGGAGGAGGAGAGGAGGAGGAGAGGAGGAGGAGGAGGAGAGGAGGAGGAGGAGGAGGAGGGAGGAGGAGGAGGAGGGGAGGAGGAGAGGGGGGGAGAGGAGGAGGAGGAGGAGAGAGAGGAGAGGAGGAGGAGGCGGAGGAGGCGGGGGAGGAGGAGGAGGAGGAGGAGGGAGGAGGAGGAGGAGGAGGAGGAGGAGGAGGGGGAGGAGGAGGAGGAGGAGGAGGAGGAGGAGGAGGAGGTGGAGGAGGAGGAGGAGGAGGAGGAGGAGGAGGAGGAGGGGGTAAGGACAGGAGGAGGAGGAGGAGGAGGAGGAGGAGGAAGGGGAGGAGGAGGGAGGAGAAGGAGGAGGAGGAGGAGGAGGAGGGGAGGAGGAGGAGGAGGAGGGGGAGGAGGAGGAGGAGAAGGAGGAGGAGGAGGAGGAGGAGGAGGGAGGAGGGGAGGAGGAGGAGGAGGAGGAGGAGGAGGAGGAGGAGGAGGAGGAGGAGGAGGAGGAGGATGGGAGGCGGGGGCAGGGGGAGAGAAGCCGGCGGCCGCCTGCCGCTGCAAGCCCCGCCCGCGCGGTGGGGCCAGAGAGGTCCCGGGAGGGGCCAGGCAGACTGGGCGGCGCCTGGCCTCGGGGGGACCGGGCCTGCTCCTCCTCCTCCTCCTCCGCCTCTTCCTCCTCCTCCTCCTCCTCCTCTTCCGCCTCCTTCCTCCTCGTCCTCCTCCGCCTTCTTCTCCTCTCCTCCTCTCTCCGCTCCTCCTCATCGTCCTCCTCCTCCGTCTCCTCCTTCTCTTACTCCTCCTCCTCCTCCACCTCCTCCTTTTCCTCCTCCTCCTGGCCGCTCCCGGCGTCGTGGGGCGAGCTCCGCCTGAGTGTTCCCAGACACCCTCCTCCTCTTCCTCCTCCTCCTCCTCCTCTACAACTACTCAATATGAATACTTCTCTCCCTCTTCCCCTGATGACGGTTGAAAGTGGCCGACCCCCCCACCCCGCGTACTGTCTTTTAAACACAAATTTCCCCGGAGTTGGGTTTTCGCCTGCATTTGTTTCCAAAATGCTGCTCTCGCTGAAGCGCCGGCCTCATTTTCGGGGCCCGCTCGTTCCGAATCGTGCTCCTGCTACAGCGCTGGCCTCATTTCCGTGCTTCCGCTCGTTCCGAATCGTGCTCCCGCTGCAGCGCTGGCCACATTTCTGCGTTTCCGCTCTTTTCGACTCGTGCTCCCGCTGCAGCGCTGGCGTCATTTCCCGTGCCATGCCACGGCATGCAATGCGATGCTAGGTTGATATTACGCTTTGCGGTGCTCTTCTACGCCATGCCATGCCGTGCTCTGCAATGCATCGCGTACCCTTTCGGGATCATTGCCCTGCTCGACATCCGACTGAGCGAGTAGAGAGGGGATCTGCGCCATGGTAAGGGATGGGAGGGAGGGGTAGGATGTCAGATATGACGCGAGCGCACCTAGCTTGTCCTCCTCCCCCTCCTCCTCTTCCTCCCCCTCCTCCTCCTCCTCCTCCTCCTCCTCCTCCTCCTCAACCTCCTCCTCCTCCTCCGAGCCGTCGGGGGGGCACCTTCGATAGCCCGCTCGTGGACGCTCCCGCCAGTCTGGGGCAGGGCTGAACCCAAGCGGTGTTCTTCGTTTTCGTTATGTCTTCATTTTCCCTCGCGTTTGCCTCGAATCCGCCCGCGCCGCAGAACGAGGCCGACACGGACACGGCCCACGGAATCGCCAAAAAACACCGTTTGGGTTCAGCCCTGGTCTCTGCTCACTCCTCCCTCCCCCCGCCCCTCCGCCCCTCGCGGAGGGCGGAGCACCGACGCGGAAGCCCGGCGGCGTGCGCCCCGCGAGTCTGGCGGGCCCCCCACCCCAAGGCCCTCCGGTGTCGGGCCTCGGGAGGGGGGCTCTGGTGGGGCAATGTTGAGCACAGTCGTGGCGTTAACCTCAGGAGCACGAAGAAAAGGAACGAGGCCCCTTCTTCCATGAGTTAAGCTTCGATTTCCCATCGACAGCAAAAGGAAAGCCTGAGGCAAGCTGTGAAACACGTAAAGAACACGGAGCCCCTCCCCAACGAAAAGGGTTCCGTCTTCAGCGACCCGACGGGGCCGAACTCTACACACCGACGCTTTTCCTGGCCCCGCACTGACGTGCGCAGAGGAAAGCGGATCCTGGTGTATACAGGGTCCTGGTGTGTACATTTGTCGTTGCTTCCCCGCTTTACCATCAGCTTCCCCGCTTGATTCTCCCCCCGAATCATCAACTGGCGCCTTCTTCTATTTGGGCGGTGGCGGATCAAGAGTCACGGTCAGCGGCACAGCCGATGCTCGCATCCCAAATAACGCCCAACGTTCGTGGGAGGTCGGTTTCTATTCACTTCGGACAACCCGTTCTTCCCTTCGGACAACCTTCTGAGGGTTCCTGAAACATTCTCCAACCTGCTTCCATGTTATTCGATGAGCTCGACATTTTGAAGCCATCAGCATAAATGACTTGAAATGACTTCAAATGGGGGCGACAGTAACTAGTCACAGCAGCGCCACGGGCTGCGCCTCTCACAACTTTTCGAGAGGACATGTTTCTCATGATGCTGCCCCCAATATCTTCCAGAATCATGATTTCCATATAAGGAAAGAACCACTGGACAGACAGGGTTCTTCATGTAAGACCATGAGTCTGGCCGTTCTTCTCTCGGCGGCCAGATCCATGTGGGGCCCCCGTCCAATGTGGATTGAGTGCGCGCCGGTTTGGCCGCAGATTTCATGACGTTGAAACAA